AAGCGAGAGCTAAGAGCTAAAGGGAGGGAGAGGGAGAGGAGAGAGCGAGAGAGCGAGAGAGAGAGAGCAAGAGAGAGAGAGAGCGAGAGAGTGAAAGATAGTGAGAGAGAGTGAGTGAAAAGCTACCTACCTTCCAAATAGCTTTAGCGTCCGGCTGATCGATGCAAGGGACCATTCTCCTGGCGTAATGAGGCTCTAATTTTGTGGAGGCGTAAGATCTATAAAAACATAGAGATTGTAAGGTCTCTCTCTCTCTCTCCTTTTTTCCTCTAAGCTCCCATCAACTTACTGCGCTCCATGCTTGCCGACAAATAGTCCCTCACTTCCATCCATCCTCATTTTTCCCTTATAATTTAGCTAAAACATTCCAATCTTACGGTATCGAAACATAGGCCGCCTACCTCTATCAAATAAAATCTATTTTTCATCAATGGCGTATCGGTTCGGAATTCCAAGACTTGATCTTCCGGTATTTCCTTCATAGTGACGGGAATTGTAACGTTATCTGGGGTGTATAGCTAGAAGAAACCGCGGATCTTATAAATTAATCCAGTAGATACCTTCGGAATTCTGAATCTCCATCATATCATAGTTCAAATAGAAAGCATGGGTGTCGGTCTCGGGTTGGAAAAGAAGCCGTACAGTGCCCTAAACAAAGTTCGAAGGGTTTAAAGGGCCAGTGAAGCCATACCTTGAAGGTATTCAACTTTTCTGGAGGTATATTCAGATATCCTTCAAGGTAGACCTGGATCGCCAGGTAGTAGTAGAGTGGCTTGATGAGGTAGGGGAGGATGGGGCCGCTGAAAAGTCTTATTCTCCAGGTAAGCTTAAACTTAGGCTTAGGCTTAGCATAGCTTTGGTTTAGGCTTAGGGGTCCGAAGCCGCTTCAATTTAGACGTGCATTTGACAAGGCTCCAGAATAAGATAAACTTACATGGCCATTTTTCAGGTGCAATCGTGACTTCAAATAATCCCGAGCCGCTCCAATTACAGTAGCCTGTCCAATCGTAATGTTGTTGGTAGCCAATTGTAGTCGTCGTCGTCGGCCCAAAAAACAACGCTTTTGGGTGGCTAGGGTAGTAGATGGATACACTGAAGCACACACACGAAGACCCCCAATTGCCTACTTCGAGACCGGCCATGGATACCCCTAGTTGGTGCTCCACCTCCTGCTCCTCCTCTTAGCCCCTTCTCATCACCTACCGTCAAACCGGTCACACCGATCAAGTGGGTTACCCGAGTATGGGTGGTGAAGGAGATGGATGGCTTCTCATCCCCCAACAGCTACCCCTTTAATCTACGCCCAAACTGGTATCTCGCATACCAGCGCTTGAGCTGACGAGCAAATTGGGGGACAAAACGACGGGTTTAGAGGGATTTGGAAGTCAGATTTTTGGGAAACTTTTCTCCTGGAATTTGATCTCTAAAAATTCTTAAATTTTTTGGTGGCTTCGTTATCTCAAAAATGACAAGATGAAACGATCCAAGACCAGAATTTGTGGTCTTGCAGCTTACCTTCGTGATATGCTTATATTGTGATAGCGACACTATCTAATACGCTACGATACGTTACGAAAAAACGCTAGGAGACGCTCGAATGCGATATGCTATGCCACCATAGGCCCCGATGCGATACTCTAGGTTATGGTGCCCAACCATACGCTTAAACGCGGTACGGTACGATGGTTTCGAGCCGGTCCGATACGCTAGCCTATGGAGCACTATGTGACGCTTCTATGCAATACGCTAGTTTATGGAACGCAAGGTGCGCTTGGCGCCAATTGGCTCGAGAGCAGACATCGTTAAGATACGGTTTGTGATACTTCAAGGTGCGCTACAACACGGCGTAAATTGTTTACGTTACCGTACACTCCGCTGAGCAGGCTAAGAGACCACGATGTAGTCGACGGTAGTTTTCCACACCACAAATGCCGGCTGTCTCCCTTATGCTGAGTGACCGTTGGTTACGAACCTTCTACTTAGCCACTGCGGATGCGTTTGTTTTCCGCTTACTTAGCCACTGCCGGTAATGTCCATGTGATTCCCCTGATCTTTTTCCGTAGATGCCACTAGCACGTGTTACTTTTGAAGTTTTCTAGGTCACAAAACCCCGGCCATTCATATTCCGGCCAGAATACGATATTGGGACCGATCGGAAATCGTTTGACCCTCGCAATCATCTCCCCACCTGCCACTCTGTCGCCTCATCCCTTTTCCCGCTCCCTCGCCCCTCCATCGATTTGCAGGGGGGCGTGGGGCAAGCGCTACGAATACTATCGAATCATCAAATTACCCTGTCTTATTCTTGCCATTATTTTCTGGAATTTCTTGAGATCAATTTAAGATATCTGTTGAATCATAATAATTACTTTTTTATTGAAAAAATGGCTTTCTCTAGCTAAAAGTTTGGCGAAAAATTAGATGGCGTAATGCTTATCTTGCTTCTTCTTTAGTAATAAGCTTGTAGTTTAAGCTATGAATTTTTCGTCGATATGTCGCGTGTCCTTTATAAAAATTCTAGAAATTAAGAACCAAATTCTAGAAAATCAAACTTCACAGGATAAACCAAGAAAAAACTTTAGAAAATCGATTAGAATGTCAGATTTCTTGAATTAAACTTGATATTGTGTACTTCAAACTACACCCTTTTTATTTTCACTACATTTTCTTTCAATTTTATGCTTATTTTGATAATTTTCAGGGACCGTCCGCCGTCGGGTTCATAAATAACCCGCGAGTCGGAGCCGCCCTCGGCTTTCGGGTAGAAGAAATGGTTACATTTTTGTGAAGAAAACGGGGAAAAATTGCAACGACAAGGAAAAGAAGGATGAAGAAGTTGCAGCTTTAGAAGTAAAGCTCTATAGACCTATCGAAATGGAACGAAATGTGAGGATGGAAGAAGTTTGAAGCCTTAGAAGCCGCTTAACCTAGACTTTTGGAGATGGAACGAAAATGAAAAATAGGAGAATTCAAAGCTCTAAGAGCTAAGCTCTGTCGATCTGTCAAAGTGGAACGGAAATGGAAAAAAGAAGCATTCAAAAGCTTTAAAAGCCAAACAACCAATATTGTGTAAATTTTGGGAAAATTTGAAGATGAAAGGAAGATGCAAAAATGAGCATTTTGCGGAGGATTTTGAAATTGGAAGGGACCGATCGAAATCGATGTATCAAAAAAGTACGACGGAAAAGAAGAAAAATCAAGAAGAAATCACGCAAACGGGAAATAAGGACCTGCTCGAACAATGCTGAGCTCAAAAATATGAGCCCGGAGACGTTGACCGTCTGAAGTGGAACAAAAACCAAAAATTAAAACAAAACTCTGAGAAATCGCAAGCCGGTGCAAGTTCATCAGAAATTTTTTACGACGGAATGAAACCGGCGAACGCTTCTTGAACGGTTTATAAAGGTTAGTTATCTACTATATCTAAATTTCTAATGTCCGTACGCCCGACCGCCGACGGGGAATTCAGCCAAATTTCGCATTCAAATGCCAAATTCAAATTGTGCGATGCCTGGGGGGGGGGGAGGCCAGCGCTGAACCCCCGCGTAGCGGGGGGTCAGCGCTGGTGGTATATACCTTTACAAGTTCGTCAAATTCGCTACGCAGTTTTAGCCCAAATTTCGTTTGGCAGTAGCTCTGCATTTCCGGTTGAATAAGGTTTTTATTTCTTGTCATCCTTCTAGCTTTAAAATTCAATTTTAGCAACTAGCGATAGTTCCAAAAGCGTCTTTTTTTGTTAAAGCAGGAGCGGAAATAGTTTTCGATATCGGATTTGTCATTATTTATCCCAAAGTTCCGGAATTTTTAAGCCAAAAAAAGCCGATTTCATAGCGAATTGGGTGGCCTTGACCTTAAAATCTGCTGAACGAAAATTTAGCTGAGCCACTAAAGTATATTGAGCCTAATCCTTGATAAAATAGAAGCATAAATGGTTTTTGATTTTGAAGCCGCGCCTTTATTCTTTTCGCAAGCCATCCAGAAATTGGAAATAGGTACGGTAAAATACTAAGAAAAATGATTTATCGGCTTTTCTGGGTAGCTTTTACCCTTCTTTACTCTTACTATAAATACTGGAATTTAGAAATGAATGACTGAGTCGAAAAATAAGCGAGATGGGTTTAAATTTGGGGAACCCAAGAAGCGCCGGTAATTCATCAATGGAAAAAGCAGAATGGCTGAGGTGGGCTAAAGACAACAAAGATTCACAGCGATTTTTTTTAGAGTATAGTGCAGTGAAGCTATCTCTACGAATAGATGTTTAGCGCCGTGCCGCTTGGCACTTGCCCGGCTTAACCAGTCGATTTTTGCGCTGTAGCCTTGCCCGAAGAAAACGGCATCAAAATTGATTTGAAAGGATGCAGAAAGTAAGAACAAACTTTGGAAAAGTGAGTTAATCTTTTGATCGGTTCTCGCTTGCCGTCCTCTTGCTAGGATTCCAGTTCTAATTTTCATTTTCAGATAGCAAAAACAAGTTTTTCATTGCCCGGTTTCGCTTGCCGACCATTGCGCAAGTGGGATTGATGGTGGGTATTTCGCCAGGTTTTAGATTCCAGTAATTTTTTCGGGTTGTTTTAATCTTTCATTTCTTCCTTTTCAGGCATGTGATAGCGATCGCCGAAACAAAAAATAAAGATGATCGTAGGAAAAGATAAAACTTTTGCTGGAGCTAGTAAGGAAATACATTTAAACAAACATATCAGAACATCACAGAATTTATCTATTATGTTTTACAGTCTTCTCTATAGCTTTCTCTATCTCTTTCTCGCTCTCTCCCTCTCTCTCTCTCTCTCTCTCTCTCTCTCTCTCTCTCTCTCTCTTCGTTTCTCTCTCCCCCTTTTTCTCTTCATCTCGTTTTAGCGATTTGACAACTCTAGACAGTTTTATGCACAATTAACCAGTATACGGCCTCATCACAGTACAAACTTTAAAATCGAAGCGGTTCAAAGCTCATAGTGTAAACATATAAATTAAGAACCAGATATTTCGGCATTAAAGATGTTCAATCAATATTCAATGATCCTGAGCGATTTCCGAGAAGAATTGGAGGACGTCTTGGATGGAGAATTCGAGTTCAGGCCGGGAGGAGGGGTAGCAGTCGGCCATCAGCTGTTGATAGGAGCCGATTTGCTTGATGAATTGGTCCTGATAAATCGTTTTATGGATCTTAACGGGACTGGGAAGTGGCATAATCTACCCCCTGGGGTGGATGGGTCTCGCAAATGAAACTAATTTTAATTAAAATTGATTAATGAAGTGTAGATTC